CATTAAATTCTGCACAACTTTCTTCCTAACTTTTCGTTGTGCTGCAGACCAAATGTCCTTGAAGCAGTCAACAGAGCTTGCTTCTCTTCCATCTTTCTTAACCCTCCGTTACTCACGCTGTTGTACTTTGTACAACACACATGAGTTTTCCATTGCCATTTTGTTGCTGACTTACCAATCGATCTGAAACCAACGAGTATTCCTCAAAAAACTTTTTATGATCGAAACAAGCTAAATTTTGATTACAGTAAACACCTAAATATGCGGATAATAGGGAAAATGTGAATGGAAACCGCGTAAACTGTGACCATACTACGTGGGATTCGACTTAATTGATTGCAACATGGAATATATCGAAATCCTGACCAGATAGAAAGTTACGCTCTCCGACAAAGTTGTTCAGGAGATCATAGCCTTGTCGCTGGCGGACAGTAGTTCAGAATTTTCTCACTACGTAGCGCTAGTATACATGTGAAATTCTCGCATATGATATATCTCGAGATCCTGACCAGATAGAAAGTTACTGTCTTTCACAAAGTTTTTCAGAAGGTCTATTGCTTGGTGCTCAATAGTTCAGAATTTTCTCACTACGAAACGCTAGTATATACGGGAAATTCTCATTTAAAATATCTCGAGTTCACAACCAGATAGAAAGGTACTGTCTTCGGCATAGTTGTTCAAGAGGTCAAGGCTTTTTCGCAGATGGACAGTAGTTCAGAATTTTCTCACTATGCGGCGCTAGTACATACGTGCTTTTCTCGCATATTCAATAGCTCGAGATCTTGATCAGCTAGAAAGTTGCTGTCTTCGGCAAAGTTGTTTAGGGGGTCAAGACTTTTTGGCTGGTAAACTGTAGTTAATAATTTTCTCACCACGTGGCGTTAGTATACATGTACACTTCTCGCATATGCTATATCTCGAGATCCTGATCAGATAGAAAGTTACTGTCTACGACAAAGTTGTTCGGGAGGTCAAGGTCTTTTGGTTGGTGAACAGTAGTTCAGAATTTTCTCACTTCATGGTGCTAGTATGCATGTGAAATTCTCGCATATAAAATATATCAAGTTACCAGTACCAGATAAAAAAAATACTGTCGTCGGCAAAGTTGTTCAGGATATTACAAAATTTTTGCACGTGGACAGTTGTTCAAAATTTTCGCTACTGAAATGTGAAATTCTCTCGAGATCTTGACCAGATAGAAAGTTGCTGTCTTTAAACAAAGTTGTTCAGGAGCTTAAAGCCTATTTTTGGTGCACAATGTTTCAGAATTTTCTCACTACGTGGCGCTAGTATACACGTGAAATTCTCATATAAAATATCTCGAGAATCTGACCAGACAGAAAGTTACTGTCTTCGGCAAAGTTTTTCAGAAAGACAAGATCTTTTCGTTGGTGGAGTAGTTCAGAAAATTATCACTACGTGGCGCTGGTATACACGTGCAATTCTCATATATGCTACAGCTCGAGATCCCGAACAGCTAGAAAATTACTGTATTCGGCAATGTTGTTTAGGAGATCACAGCTTTTTTGCTGGTGAACAGTAAATAGTTCAGAATATTTTCGGTATGCGGCGCTAGTGTGCATGTAACATATTTTTATATGCTATAGCTTAAGGTCGGGAAGTAATTGTCATCGTCAAAGTTGTACATGCAACAAAGTTCTTCCGGATGGTGAACATGAAAATGTGTTTTGTTCAAAACTCTCTCATTTTACGTCCAATTTTTGATCTCCTTAGGTTATTTGAATGATATGAATGGTATAGCATAAGGGCTCTACTACTACTTTTAATTTCAATTTTTTTTTTTCAAGTCGATTCTGAGAAAACCAATTATAATTCTTCAGAGTAAATTTTGAAAAATAGTGTTATTTTGGGAGGACCTTTGCTATACAAAATTTGAAAATGATATTGAGTACTTTGTCTCTTCGTATTTTCATTAAAAATTTTTAGCATATTCTAAAAAGAATGAAAATTGGACGTTTTTAGGGCGTGTCCTTAAACTTATGATCGGGAGTGTACGGTTTTATAAATTTCTCAATTAAACTGAGCAAAAGTGCCTCTCTCTCTGAGTTAGTCTTGTTGTCCGTGCACACGTAAATACACGGATTTTTTTTTATTCTAGACCCCTCAATAAGACATTTTTAAATTAGCCTAAAATGAAAGAGAGACTCTAAACATTCATTTGGTAGAAGTTTCAGCGATATTGATCCTTTAAGATAATGTTTCCTATCTGAGATACGTGTTACCACTAATTTATCAGAGGTATACAAGTGGAATGACTCACCCCAAGTTATGGTATCCACAAATCTGCATGAAAATCTTCACCAGTGAAAGAAATCCAGAATATATTTGTCTTAGCGGCACCGGTGGTGTAGTGGTAAGCATGAATACCTCTCACCCCAGCAGGCCTGGGTTCAATCCCAGTCGGCGCCGCCGGGATGTTCTGAGGCATAACATCTCTGATCACGCCTTCCTAAGGGAAGTAAAGCGAAGTATATGTGAAAATTTCACGTATATACTAGCGCCACGTAGTGAGAATTTTCTGAACTACTCCACCAACGAAAAGATCTTGACTTTCTGAAAAACTTTGCCCAAGACAGTAACTTTCTATCTGGTCAGAATCTCGAGATATTTTATATGAGAATTTCACGTGTATACTAGCGCTGCGTATTGAGAAAATTTTGAACTATTGTGCACCAAAAACTAGGCTTTGATCTAATCAACAACTTTGTCGACGACAGTAACTTGCTATCTGGTCATGATCTCAAGATATATCACATGCGATAATTTCACATGTATTGTAGCGCTACGTAGTGAGAAAATTTTGAACTACTCTCCACCAGCGAAAAGGTTATGATCTTTAGAAAAACATTTCCCAAGACAGTAGCTTTCTATCTGGTCAGGATCTCGAGATTTTCCGTGTTTAGTTAATTCAATTAAGTCAAATCCCACGTAGCACATTTTCTCTTTTATCCGCATTTTTTGTGGGTTAACTCTGATAAAAGTTTAGTTTGTTTAGTTAAAAACAAAATTTTTTAAGGAATACCAGTTGGTTTCATATCGATTGGTAGCTCGGCTGCAAAATGGCAATAGAAAACTCACACTGTTGTACAAAGTACTCGTGTTACTAAAGTTGGCGCGAGTAACGGAGGGTTAAGATGCCGTTTAAATATTGCCCAGTATCTTTCGATAGGACGCAGTTCAGGGCAGTTTGGGGGATTTTGGATTTTTTTTTTCAACAAAATCGACTTGTTCCTTCTTGAGCATCTCCATAGTGAGCAGATGTCGGATCCGGCCAAAAAAATGGAGGATCCGTATGCTTTCGGTAGATGGGTAGAGTCGTTTTTTGATGCATTCACCATTGATTGTGCCCGTTGTGAAATACGAAGAACTCTTCAAGCCACAGAAGCAAATGGTTTGCCATACCAAAACCTTTTTTCCAAATTTTTCGGTTCGGATGTATCGCACATCATCAGACACATCTGTCCTCTGCTTAGCGTTGAAAAATTGCGGCCCGGGAAGTGTACTGGTATCCAATTTGACATACATCTCGTCGTCCATCAAAATGCACCGGTTCGGCTTTTGAAGGAGAACGTCATTCAAGTTCCGTTACCGTATTTTCGAAGAAGCTTTCTGTGAATCCGTCCTTTTGGGTGCTTTTTGCTTCTTGTAGGTTCTGATATTGTAACGTTTTTTGATATTCTGCACAGGTCCGACGCTAATATCCAATTTTTTTTTGACAATTTCACGAACGAAAAACGGGTTATTTGATTTCAAAATGCGTCCTCTTTAGTGGAATAATCTTTACTGAAACTTGTTATTTTGTAATCCTATAAATGAGTAAACTGAGTAAATTTGTGCCAAAACCAGTGATAAATGACCTATAAATGATCACTGCTGTTAAAAACTGGATCACACCAAGGGCTAACAAAGGCACAACTGATGCTAAAACTGGTGCTGACACTAGAAGCTTTGAATAATTTATTAAGATTATTGTGATGCAAATTCAAATCGTTTTATTCAAACTTCAATTCAGCGGACGTTACATATACTTTTGTATTACATTATAAAACTACGTACTTTGATCATGAAAAATATAAAAAAAAACAGTAAAGTAATCGCATATCAGTCCCATTCTGAAATTCAATCGTCTAGAAATTAAGTTCCAGTTCTGCTTTTTGAATTGCCACATTTTTCGCTGTTATAACAAACATGGTAGCTCAATTGCAACTGATTTTAACTTGAAAAATATCAATAAGCTCACTATGAGTTTTCAAATATTTACATGGACATTTAACTTCGTAACTGCGACTGCCATTTTGTCAATCCCTGCTTTTTCCATACGGGACAGATATGCGATTATAGGCAGTATAGTTTATGATCATATGAAAGAAGCAAAAATTCTAAAAAATTGGCCGTTTTGAAATCCATTGGTCATATTTCATCGAGTAGATGTGATTCGATGTGTCGCTTGATATGTGTATGATGGATAATAAATTTGACCATATGGAACCATAGTCCGGAACATATGGAAACGATTCCAAGGGAGGCCTGTAGGCATGTGGTTGTTCTCTATCGTTTCCGGGAGTTCCACGAAAATAATCAAAATGTTGTCGCAATGATAAGTGCTAACACATTCTCGAATATTAAAAAAAAGGAAGGGTCCTAGGGGAGAGTACCGCCCAACAGATGTAAAAACCTCTCACCAGAATAATGTAAAAAAAAACTTCCATCGCATCTCAGAGATAAACATTTTTGAAAATAAAAAGTTCGTCCCGGGTTTTTACGGGTTAAACTTATTTCCTATCCCTTCGCAAAGTTTCATCCAAACCGATATTTCAACTCAGCTCGATACAAACAGCTGTCTCATCTGACCGAATAGCCCAGTCTTAACAAGTTTTCCCTAGTAGATTGCAATTGTCCAAAGCCCATGCCATCGTTCATATAAGATATCTTGTCACCACTAAAATTCCGACCCCCCGTGTTCGTTCTTCTGGTTTCAGTTTTCGGCAGAGACCAATCGGAGCAGCAACTGCAGCTTCAACAGCAACACCAAAAGGCAGCAATGGTGCAGAAAACCGAGGTGCAGGACACGCTGTATCGGATGCTGAACGGGTTCCTGATGACCGTAACCTGCCGAGGGCAGATCGTGCTCGTTTCCGCGTCGGTCGAGCAGTTTCTGGGACACTGTCAGGTGAGTGGTTTAGCCTAGGTAAAGAAAAACAAAATAAATGCAGGCTTTCTAATTGAGCTGTTTTATGACGCGCCCGATCAAATGCTGATTAGATTCGAATTTCTTGTTTGTGGTTTGAAAGGTTGAACGGGTTTAGTCAGCCCACTTGCATCATTTTTTGTTTTGTCACTCATGTAAACTGGTTCTTAAGTGCACGGTGAACGTTAATGGGCGTTGTTATCAAATTGGCTCAACTGGGTCAATCTGAATCTGAAGTGTTTTTTTTTTGCAAGGCATCTCCTACGTAGAACAGGTCAGTGCTAATTGGTAATCTAGAAATCAAATGACATGTCATGAACAGTAGCTACCAATCAATCATCGGGCGACATTTATGGTATCTACGGTATTGAAAAATGTTTAACCTAATTCAACAAACAGCTCCTGGTGCGATTGCATCTCAGTAGCAATGCAGAATGGTCTTGATTGTCAACTCGAGTTGCAGTTTTTACAACTCTCGAGGTAAACTGGCTGCGGTATAAGCTGAATGTTTGTTTTTTTTTTGCAGTTTGGTTATTAATCCTGATATCAAGATCACAATCTCCGAACATTTCGATTGTCATTGCAGTTCCGAGCTAGTCGAAAAAACTATGTCCTTCGTATGATATTGCTGTCTGCTTTTATTACCCAAGTAGCACGCATATGTCACACAAAGTTGCAGCAAATTGAAAGCTCTTAAATGAGTCCCATAGCATTAACCTCGTCTGGTTTTTGACAAGTATACTGTGCAAAAAATAATTGCAAGGTAACATTTTCGCACAGACCTGAACATTGAAAAATCAAACTTATTACAATGCAGTAGCTGCTTTCGAATAGTATTCGTAAGCTACACTACTGAATTCGAGGTTAAGAAAACTTTAAGAAGTTCACCAGAAAATATGCGAAAATATTACTGCAGTCGTGAGCTAATGCAATGCATTAAAGTAGGTCGCAATAGCCAAAAGTTTGATAAACGCTGGTCTTGGACATCTCAGGCCTTCTCGTATGCACTCGTCACCCGGTTCGCAGTCTCCAGATCGGCAAACTGTTTCAGCAGTAAACACCGTTGCAATTTCTCGATATACGTTTTCCTTTTACTATGCATATTCTCACGTCACTTAAAGTAAAATTTTACGTAAATACAAAATCACTTACGTCACGCGCGTACGGTACACCGGTTGAGAAAAGCACGTGCTATGATCGTTTAAAAACAACATTCATTGTTCAAATTCAGTACCAGCATGCATATTCCGAAAACCTAAGTTACGCGAGCGGAAACGAGTGACGTATTTTTATAAGGAATTTCACATTTGCATCCCAGCAGTGCGATCTATCGTAAGCAAGTTTGGGTACAAGAAGCGCAATTGGCGATTATGCGTCATTTTAGATGAAAATATTTCTGTACTATTGACGCCAAAACTGGCACGCGTCTTGTGGAGAAAAATACTCGAATTTGCATGACCAAACTGGCTACTTCTGTATTTGTTTACTCGTTTTGTCGATGCTGCATGATATCGGGTGATCAAACAATGTATGCCAAAAAGCTGACAATTTTAACACTTTTAATTAATACACACACAAAAGCAAACAGCCGCCCAGGACGGAAGTCTTTCTTGTTGACCCACTGCAGGATACTTGTATTGAGTCAATGAATACACAATCAACGTGATTGTTATGTTCTGCAGCATAATAATCACTTTGATCGCGTGCCGATATATTGTGGCTTATTGATGTTAAAGAATAGATTTTCACAGTTTTTATTTTACCCAAACAAAAACTGAAGTCAGTACACAAGGTGGTTTGTTCAGATGGTAAATAGTGTTGAGCATTTCGAGGCCAAATGGAAAAAAAGAAAATTGAATTTCAGATTCGACCTTCTCCGATTCGCTTGAAACTTTGTATAATTGCTTTTTATGGTCAATCATTAAAATTTGAGCTAAAATTTGGCCATTTTCAATCTCGCAAAATGAAATTCATTCCGACATTTGTTAGCCAATCCTAACTCGAAAACGTCACCTTCAATCGAAATGACGTCTAAGGCAAAGTTATTTGACCAAATAATTCGTTTTCAAGAAAAAATATTCTACAATAGAGTATTACTTGAAATTGTTTACGCATCTAGTTTTCCCAAAAAGGAATTGTTTTATTAAATTAAAAAAAAAATCCAAAATAGTGTTTCAAACTTTACTAACAAAAAATGACTCTTCAATATACATTGAGTTACGGCTCCGAAAAGCTAACGCAATTGAGCCTTGACATGTAAATGGATTCAACGTTTGGTTGTACTTTTGAAGTTTTTATATACATTTTTTGTTAGTTAATTTTTACTCAGAAAACGATTTTGAAAGTCTAAACATGTTTTCAGTACTTGCTTTTGGAAGTTTCCACAATCTTTCCCCCCGGAAGTTTACATGCCTTTCTAAGCAATTTTCTTTAGCTCCTTGATGGATGCTGCTTAACTTCTTCTTCTTCTTCTTCTTCATCATCGTCGCATTTCAAGCTTATTGCTGATCGCATATTAGCATCTTGCGTGCTCTCAACTTAGATGCACTTCCACAGTTATTAATTTAGACTTTGAAACAAATTTCTCAAAGTACTCAGGGCAAACCAAGGGAAGAACAGACGAATTGACACTTACCCGATCGTAGATAGCCTCACAACGGTAAAGCAATTCACTTTGCAAAATATAATTGCAACACTCGGTAGCTAGCATGCTGCGTTGCGGCCATTGGTCGGATGGGCGCCGTCAATCAGCAGATCGACCACAATAGTGGGTAAACCACGAGGGAGAGATAGATACTGCACGAGCAAAGTCCAGTATCAAAATGACAGCAAATTGAAATCAAGTTTTGATATCAACTTCAAACTGAAATCTTAATTTGATTTCAGTTTACGCAATTGACAAATTTGATACCTAATTTTTTTTCATTGTGCTGTACATTTGCTCTTCAGAAATATGTTGTTGCGGGTTTGTTTTCATTGCCTTAGCATAACATCAAATTGAATACTTGTTTTGTTATCAACAGGAAATTTATATCAAATTTAGTTTTCAGTTTGCTCTCGCTGATAGTAGAAATAGATTTCAGTGTGATGATATTTTAACTGTTAAAACGACCAAAAAATGACAGCAACCTGAGTAATCATTATCAGCGAAATCACAACATCAAATTTAGATTTCAATTTGATCTCAGACTTTGCTCGGGTGGTTACTCACGTACCTTACCGTGCGATATGCTGATCGCTTCGCAGGGTGTTTGTAGTGGTGTGGGTTGCGAACTACCAACAACTGGGGTCGGGTCACGTGGTAAAGGGTGAACATTATGTTAACAGCAATTAGCCGATCGCGTTCGGACTGATGATTGGCGGCTGCTCACTGGCAAGGCCGCGCCTGGATTTCGAACGAGGATTCATTCACAAGTCTTCTCATCCGTGCAGGATGGCATTCACCGACTACACGGGACCGTATGTTGACGGACGGTCTATTTTCACTCGAGATCACCCGATTTTCTTCTGTGCGCACTAGAGTGGAATTTTATAGGTAGGGAAAGGAACTAACGAAATCGGGCACGTGTCGAATGCTTCGATCATTAACGTACCCAGGCAATCCGATCAAAACCACCACACAAAAGGTTCAAAGGACACCACTCTACCTCTTTCACCTCCTAGTAATGTGTCATTGATAAGTCACAATCTCACCACCTAAAGTTTTTTTTTCCGCACTCAAACTGCCCGATGTATTTTTTTCGGAGATAATTCTCCAATCAATAGCCCTCAAGTAAAAAACCGCGTAGTCGAACTTACTGGTGATTTTTCCAAGAATCAAAAGAGGCTCTCTCACTAGGAGGAATACCTTATATATCCTCTTCTCTCCTGTCGCTGATCTCTCTCGGTAATCACCCACTTCCTGTTGATGCCAGAGTTGTAGACGCCATGTTTCGTGCAGATGATAACACCATTCGTGCTCTAGAGATTCAGCAGGATTTGTGTTGACGGTTGTATAAAACTAGATTTATAGTAAGAGATGAACCAGCCCAAGGCTAAAAATCTCTCTAATAAAGCAAAAAAAAAATAAAACTAGATCCCTATCTAAGGCTTTTTTTGTATAATGCTTATTTGGGAGTAATCTAGTCGCGCCATTGATTAGTATTTATTTATTTGGAGGAAAAAGCCCACACTAGTGGGCGCAAAACCTCATCATTTCAGTACCAACAGATAACATGGAATCCTACAGATACATTTGCTTGAACTAAGTCCTAAACATATAAAAAGATATTAATGATAACATAATTAACATAATTTAAATACAGAAAACAGCAACCGCCAGGAAGTTAAAAGTACATTATAAAACAGGTTATTATGCCTAACACGGGAGATATTAAAATCAAAGCAGTTATAACATTTGTTGAAAATCTTGCACATGCTAGACAAAGGCTCATTAGCGCCGTAGTTTGTGTGAGAACGTAGATTTACGTGTCTGATATTGACATTCAACTGCTGCAGAAGTGTACCGCAATTAATGTCCGATCGTAGGAGATCAGCGATGAAGGTAGCCTTAGAGACGCCTCGGCGAACACTAAGTTATTGTAGGGACATCAAATTACAGCGACTTTCATAACTAGGGAGATTGAAAGGATCACTCCAGGGTAGCCAACGAAGAGAGAAACGTACAAATCTTCGCTGAATGGCTTCAATACCCCGTTGCTGTAAAAAGGAGCCCATACTTACTACGGAACAGTACTCTAATGTGGAGTAGACTAGCGAACAATAGAGTGTTTTTAAACAGAAAATGTCCAAAAAGTCTTTGGCGAAACGAAAAATGAAACCAAGTTGAGAAGATGCCTTAGCGGAAACATAAGCCACATGGTCCTTGAAGGTGAGTTTTGAATCAAGTAGGACGCCTAAGTCTTTAATGGTAGATTCACGGCTTAATATTTGCTTCTGCAGGCTGTAAGCATAACAGATAGGTGATTTTTTCCTGGAAAACG